TCTCACCTACTCAATGCAAGATCGATCAGGGGCCCACGTGGCTCTGCTCTGCATGCAAAGAGCCATCCAGCTGATGGCTATGAACACTTTACCTGCGGCTTCTTAATATAAACAGACCGTGATTCAGGAAGTACTTTGGCATTCCAAACTAGTCCTGTAGCAGTTAGCCGAATCCAACATGAAAGTTGAACCTCCCAGCTTCTTTCAAGGTTTTCAACTTCTATATCTCTGGGGTCAGAAGCTATAGATTATTGGCTTAAGTAAGCAAAATGCAGAGCAACAGCGCTAACTATAAGGCAGGAGTCCTAGGTGCTCTTCCATACTCTATTATGAATTTCTCTCAGCTTAGTAGGCTCACTAACAGGGTTTATGTAACGTCTATTCTCTATTTATATCACTACATCATGTAAAAGGAGAATCATTCATTCATTCATTCATTCATCAGACAATATTTAAGCACCTAGAGTCTTCCAGGCATTGTATTACGTGATGGGAAGCAGAAGATGAGAAAAAATTTTTTTGTCAAGTTCAAGGGGTTTAGGAATCTAATGGGGTAAGAGAGACACATGAAGGCTATGTAATGCACTATGCTGGTATGAATAGGGTATTTCATTTTAAAGTTGAGGCCTGGGGGTATATGAAGTGTTTCTATGTCTAATGCCCCATCCAAATAATAACTTACTGTAATCTCTCTTCTGTGAATTAATGAAATCTACTTATTTAATAAACATATGTGCTAATGTCCAAATTCCTCAGAATTTCATGTCAGAACCTCCATTATTTAGCCCCAGTCAGTTCTTCTGGTCTTATTTTTATGATCCATGTTCCTCTCTCCAGTTCTTACTTCTGAGCTACATTTGAAAAAGGTATAAAACTCTCCTTCTCCACATGTTCCTTACTTTGTGCCCAAAAATCATGCTGCCATCTCAGACTTCTTAGATACAGAAAATCATTTATTGAGAGCCTGCTATTTGGTCAGGCACTATTCTAGGCACTTTGCATGGATTATCTCATTTAGTCTTCACAAAGAAGGTTGATAGATATCAACTCATTTTACAAATGAGAAAACTGAGGTTTATGACTTCAAGTAACTCACCCACAGGTACATGGCCAGTACATTGCCCATCTCATTTTGGTTTTCCCATACCACCCCTCCAATGCATGACCTCCCTTTCCTTACCTCCTAACTATTTCCTCAGCCTGATTTCTATACCCATAACCTCACTCACACTGTTCCCACCAAAGTCACCAAATGACCTCCTAATTTCCAGATTTAATGGACTCAGGGGCCCTACTTTATTTGACCTTGTTTTATAGTTCACTACAGACTCCTCTTTTTGGGAAGTCCCATTTCCACTGCTATAAAACCACTCTCTCAGGCTTCTTTGGTTCCCCTCTTAGATAGAATAAAGACATCTACGTTTCTCATTGGCTTCTCTCTTTTCACAACTCGTTTTATACTTTCCTGTTTCCTGGCTTAAATCCTGTCTTATTTTACCTTCTTTCCCTGAGTAAATTCCCATCACTTTAACTTATGTGGCAAATATCTCCAGTCTTCCTTCTCTCTCCTGTGTCCAGGATTCATACTTTTAACTTTTTTGTAGATATCATCATGCAGTATCACCAAGGCTTCTCAGACTCAATATCGGATGTCTAATCTCTTCCCATCCCCTCCCAAGACCTGTTATTCATTCTTCAATTAATGATGCCAACATTCATCCAATTTCCTATGTAATAAACCTCATTCATGCTTAATTTTTCCCACATGTTGTCGATGAACAAGTTCAGTTAATTCTACCTCATAAGGCTCTCTGTTGATTCCCACTGTCACTATCTTAGCTCCAAACTTTATCATCGGTCTTTCAGATGAATCACTGTGTTGTATGTGTGTTCAACCTCTCCTTTAATGCTAATACTGTCCCTAAGAAAATTCTTAGACTTTTATATGAACACGTAAGTCTCTTCTTTTCTGAATTTTATTTAAGAGGATTTTAACACCTTATTTTATATAACATGTTTACTTTTGACGTGCTTTAATTTAGCGATTTTTTTTAACATAAGATACTTTTACTTAAACATGCCATTTCAAAGAAAGCACTTGGAGACTATATGTTCAACACAATATTTATATTGACTATGTCCAAGATAATATGCTAACCACTGCAGGGGACAAAATGTTTAATAAAACTGAATTTGACATGGGCTTTAACTGTAAAGACTTTACAGTCTGTTAGGGGAGATAAGACATGTATTAAATAGCTATAGTACAGCCTATGATAATTATAAAATATGTACAAAAAAAAGCTATCAGAATTCTATTGGAAGAGAGTTTGCTTTCCCTGAGGGAAAATAACAGCTTCCTGAAGGTGTCAATATCTGAGCAAGGACTTCGAAGGTGAAACGAAATGGGAACTTTTGAATTTTTTTCACTCACTTTATTGAACCCCCTTTATATGTAAGGCACTGCATTAAGTGCTAGGAATACAGAAATTAACAACAGACCAAAACTTGACTTCAAGTCGTTTTCAGTCAGTGAGGAAGAAAGATAAAAGAATATTATTATACCAGAATGAAAAGGAATTATACTGGAGATTTTTTCCCCACTAAAAACTATAAAATAATAAAGAAAATCACAAAGATGAACAAGAACTAACTTTTTTCCAAAGGGAACATCTTTAAGAAGAGAGGCTACTTGAACTCAGCTTAAATTATCAAATAGCCTAGGTCAAAATGGAGAAGAGCTAGGGAAAGAAGGAAGCATTCAACCAGAGGAATCTAGGGCTCAGAGATGGGAAGGTATGAAATATGTACTTTGGTGATAGTTCAGGAGAGCTGAAGAAGAAAGGTAAAAGATGTAGACTGAAAAAGAAACCTGGGCTAGGATGTGGAAAGGTTAAAGGCCAGACTAAGAAGCGAAGACATTTGTTAGGAATATTTTATCAATGACTAACCAATAGAGCTAACTTATAGATAATTCTATATATGGATTCATTTTCACTAGGTAGACCAGAAATTTACTTACTTGACTACATTTCTGATTGAAAACTTGATATTGTTTGCATCAAGCAGCCCAACTGTGTATTTTTTTCTTTATACTTTGTACATTACAGTTCACTATATTAAACTTCCAGACTGCTTTCTTTGGGGCTCTGGTCATTTCTCCTTAGTTTACACTTGTGGTAATATTAATCTTATTTTTATTTCATGATGACCTACTGTTCACTCAAATGGATTATTACAGGAAATGGAAACAAGAACACTGGTAATTATTCAAATAATTGGTAATTGGTCAAACACTTTAGGGTCTAGTATTCCTCTATTACTGGTAATCATAATCTTCAGCCACAATTAATATATGAGGTTGAGCTCTGCTTTTTATTTGGAGTGCTAATAACATGAACTATAACCTGCTCCTAAATAACCCTTTTTGGAAAAAAGATTTTGAAGGATGCATTTATTCTCTAGATTCACTTCTGTATATTTGGATACACGGATACACACACACACACACACACACACACAAAATGGCCAATTAAGGGTAAAAAAAATATATCAGTAAGGGAAAAGAGTAAATCAAAGACCCAACAATTGCTTTGTTAATTTTTTGAATTAATATCATCACTCCTACATTTTTTCTCAAATAAGTCACCTAAAGCTGTTACACTCTAACAACGGAAATTTCCACATTTCTGATTTCCATATTTCTACATCTCCAACTATTTCATTATCTTTTCTGAGGCAAGAAAGAAATGTTTAAACCTGTCACAGCTTATTGAGAATACCTTTAATTATATGATTATATTTTGTTCCAATACATAGCTGAGAACAAAATTCAAGATGAAATAAATCTTTTAGTCCAGTGAAAATGTGAGTACCACAGAGTGTGTCTTTTATTACCAGAAGACAATATAAGATACTAGATGCTTGAAGGTAATAAAATGCACCATCAGAAAATCAGTGAAGCCTTCAGGGATAAAGATGGTGTGACACCAAAACTCCAATGTCTATTCTGCCATTTTGCATTGGTCCTGTCCTAGTAAAACAAAAAGACCAACATGCCAGTAAAAAATGTCCTTTAAACTACTTTGGGTTGATTCCAAGTGCCTGCTCTAGTAGATCCTAAACAGGACATCTTGGTACCAATTCACAGTCATTGTTACGAAGTTAGAGCTCTGCATCCACTAGCTACTCTCAAAGCCAGCCCCTGCACTCCTAACATTCTAACTACACCTCATCAAAGTCACTTATATTTTCATTACAGAAAATAGCCAGTCAATGGCAAAATTATTCTAATTTTTGTCTTCAAAATGCCTCCCTATCCACATCCTTTCTTTCCTGCCATCACAGATGCAGAGCTTCTCCTATTGCACCGGACTCTCTCTACCTTAAAAGAACCATTCAATCTTGCTGCTAAGTTTTGGAGTGGTATATTTTCCCCTATTCACTGAGGTCAGCCACACCCTGGTGGGTTTTGAGACCACAAAAGATGTCTTCCTTAAGACACACACAGGAAATTATTTTTCTTACTCTTATTTCCTCGTTTATCATTTTACTAGTCTTTTACTAATTTAAAATCAATGGGTCTACCTCTAATATCCAATTACCATCTTTTCACTAGAACTTTCTTATATCTGAAATATGCTTCTTGATGGACTCAGCTCACCAAGCACACCTTCTTGACTAAAGAAACTCCTAATATCAACCTTATCCAAGAATTATTTAAAAGAAAGGCGTAGTATTCTCCCAAATTTACTCCAACTAAATGTTTTACATTTTCTTTTCAGCCAATCCACAGCATAAATGCTTAATGCTTTTTATCTTATAGATTTATTAACTGTTTATACTATGATGATTTATTATCCTGAGATTATGGCTTTTTAAATATATTTTTCTTTGAAAGTTTTGTCTGCCTTAAACAGGAAAGCCTTTGCAGACAACCCAAGACAAAGGTTGCATAAACAATTTTTTTTTCTTATGGACAAGAAGAAGACAAAACTTACCTGCCCATGCTTTTGCTGAGGGGCCATCCCATGAAGCATTTCGGTATGTGATGAGGCCTTGAGATCAGTCCCCTGTGTTTTGGGACGCACTACATCAGAGACCAGACTGGAAGAGATTGCTAGAGACTTGGGCCGGACAGCTGTCGTGCCAATCCCCCCTGGGGGCCCTTGTTCAACTTTCCTGCTTGTAGCCTCATCTTCCCCTTCAGAGTCCACAATAAGGACATATTCAGCTTTGAAGAGGTCACTTTGCTGCATTCCTTGAAGTTTGTTTGCTTCAAATTCCCTTTCTTGTAAAATCCTTCCACTGACCTCTGAAGGACAAGTCAATGTCCCTTGGTCTCTCTCTTGCTGGCTCTCAGCATTCAAGGTCAAGTAGTCATTGGATTTAGACTGTAATAGATGTGGAGAGAGAAAAGCATTATCATTAGTTTAATAAATGCTTCTTCTTGGCATGTACACTAAAAAGCTTAACTTCCTTATATTTTAAAAAACATATTAAATTAGATTGACATAAGAGAGAGATGGAGTTGAAGTTAATGGTTTATTTTTACTAGCCCACTAGCCCCCCTGTTTGTCCTGGTCTAAGCCCAAACAACTTTGGGATAATAATCAACATCAACAAGCAAACCTAACTGTTTTAAAGTAAGTCATGACATGATATTTTAAGGAGAGACAGGGAAAGAGAAATTGTTTTTCATGAAGACATTTGTGAAACAAATGGGGATTGGCTAAGGGTTTAGTTAATGGTGAAGCAACCTGCATATCCTTTCAAAGCCAAGGGAGGAAGGAAATCCCCATTGAAAGATTCTAAAATCATACAAAATCTCTCTAAAAGTCTGAAAGGAAAAATAAAACTGGAACAAAATGCATAGTCAGACAAAATAATCTAAGTTAATTAGGAAGAACTCATAAATAGAACAGCAAAAAGAAGACATAGATATTTTTAGTACAAAGCATTTTTCACTGTTTTATTTTGGATTTGTAATTCTCAGTCTTTTCCCATCCAATTTTCTATGAATACATATGTTTTCAAGACCAGGATCAAGATAGCTTTATCCAGCTACTAAACCTTTTTTTCTAAAATTATGACAGCCATGTATAATAAAATTGTGTTTAAACAGCCTAATGTCAATTATCTCATTTTTATAACTACACTACGGTTACTACTATTCTTTTCCAGGCAGCTTTTCTGTAAGACTAAAATTATCTCAAAATAGAAAGTTAAACCAGTAAATAAAAATAAGCTAACAATTTCAACTCTGGTTGTCAATGTAATGTGTCCTAAGTGTGCATGTGTTGTATGTATGAAGACAGAAGTCAAATCACTAATTAAATGTAACTAAAAGGTTGATTTTTATACACCCATCCCACATTATGCAGCAGATAACGATGATATAGTCAGGATAAAACACAAATTGCCTCTGATTAAATGTATCTGCCCATCTTTCTCTATCTACTCTCATATGTTTTTTTCATAGTATTTAGCACTCTAAGGGATTTTATTACACACTTTTCTTTTTTTTTAATTGCTTGCCTTCCTGATAACAAGCAAGCCCATATGAATTGTCTTTATTCACTTGGAATCCAATCACCAAGAGAATAACATATGTTCAGTAAACTGTTGCTAAGTATATAAATAAATGAGGAATTACATTATTTTAATGTTGGACTAATTAAAAGATAGGGTGAAAAATCTTTAATCTTTTTAAGATGTGGTTGTATATATATCATTGCAATGAACAGATGAATATTATCATCTTAGTAAGCTCTGGAGGTTTGCAACCAAGATTGGTTTATGTAGCTACAGTCTCACACCACTCATAGGGCCTAATTACAAAGGATCTCATTAATATTATGTAAATAAGTGCTGTAGGAGAGAAACTATCCAGAAGTGCCATATATAGTATTCAGAATGTCTTTGAAACAATTTGCCCCAATTAGTCTTTGAAAGAAAATAGCGGCATTGAAAACTCCAGAAGCATGGAAATATTACTACTTTCTAGATAAGATTTTTTCTTACAGACAAGGTAAATCTGATTATTTTATCCCTTTCTAATTGTGTCAAGAACAACATAAAGTTGCCCCAATTTCGTTTTATTTAGAATTAAGCAATATTAAAACACATTTTAAAGAGAAAAACATTTTTACTCAAAATTTTATTATTCTAACATATTTTCAAGTTTTAAAACTTCGTTTAATTTCACTTCTAGTCTTGGTCTTATTTTAGATAGGTATGATGAGGATATGAACACAATATTATATCACCTACTATTATAAGGTTAACATTTTTCCATGGAATTACCTAATTACCATAAGTATAACTTTGCCAAAGTGATGTACTATCATATTCTTAATTTTTCTGATTGTTAGATATTAGGCTCTTTTACCCCCCTAATTATTTTCCTACATAATTTTTCTTCTTTTGTACTACTTCCTTGTGATATATTTTGAAGAGTTAGATTATTGACAGGTTATTAACAGTTTTATAACTGTAGATAAGGAATTCCCACCAAAGTTGTATGAATTTACAAAACCAGCAGCAAAGTGTAAGCATGCCAATATTTCCACAACTGTCCCAACATTGGGTATTACACTGTTTAATGTTGCTAATTCCTTACATGAAAATAATAACATCTTACTGTTTTGTGTTCTATTTTGACATAAATTAAAACATTTTAAAATTTTGTTTCTATTTTCTTAAGAAATATTTGAGGAAACGTGCCAGGAGGCAGAATTTGTCATGTGAATAGCAAACAATAGGATGTAAAACTGAAAAAAATTGAAGATAGCACATTAGAGAGAACATATGATTTGATAACATTTATGCTTCTATTGCATTATTATATTTTTAGTCAAACATAGAGTCACAGGAACTTAAGCACAGAAAATATATACAAATTTCCAAGTTATCATTATCAAAAATCTAATATAATTGTTTGAAATAAAAAAAGAATAAAAATATTCCTACCCTATTTACAGTTTCTGGACTCTTATCACTTGGTTCTTCTGGGATTTTAACAAGAAATTTAGAGGTATCAGCCAACTGAGTATGTGTTGGTAGTCTTCGGACAGTGGGGACAAATGTGAAGATCAGAGGTTTGGCTTCAGAACCACCAGCAGAGACCTATGAGACATGCAGTTAATTAGACTTTCAGCCTTGTCAAAGGTTTATCTTGACTTTATTCTCAATATAACATGATATTTATTTCATTTCTTTTGATAAACTGCCTAGTGTCCTGTGATCATGTATATGGCTGCCAAAGTAAATACCTATAAAAATAGTCATAATGTATCAGAATCTTTTTTATGATACTCTTTGCTAGAGGAAATAATACAACCCTGGGAAGATCCTGTTGGAGGGGATGGCATAAAACAGGTTGGTAAGCTGATCAGCTGGAATCTCATGGAGCATCCCTATCTCAGTGAGGTCATCACAAACTCATCATCTGGTCTGTTTCAAAACTGGCTTTCATCCATTTAATCTTGGGTTTGTAGGTTTAATTTATTGACTTATGATCAATAAGAATGCAAGAGAATTTCCACATTTATCATTAACAAGAATGCCAAAATACAAATTTAAAGTATCGAAATACCAGTGCTACTCTTAAGGATAGGCCTTCTCCTTCATTTATTCTTAACTTATTCAAAAATAATTGTATGAAGTATTTGCTGTGTAACAGGCACTTAGGAAGGAGGTAGGAAAACAGTGGTGAACAGGAAACAGTCAGTAGGCTACTCACAAGAAGAAAAAAGATATGAACAGACTACTAAGGGGACAGTGATGAAGGACGCCTACCCAACCCAGGAAGCTTCACAATAGGCAGCACCTGAAAGTTAAGTCCAGGTGAAGAGGAGGATACGGAGATCCCAAGCTGAGAAAAGGAGATGAGTGGAAGCATGGAAAGCAGCAGCAGTGGAGAGTGTATTAATCTTGGACTTTGTTCTGCTGACATTGTTGATGGAAACATTACATGGTCATATTAGAATTGTAGATAGATAAAATCTAGTTTTAAAAGTCACAAGCCTAGACACAGGAATAAAAAGCCAAAAGCATAAGTTGGAGACTAAATGAGAAGGGAGAAGAAAAGATGGTACTGTAGATTTCTCTTTTAAGAAGTTTGGATGAAAAGTAAAAAGAGAGGTTGAGAGTAATTAGAGAGGGAATTAGAGTCAACAGGGTGCTTTTGTTTGTCTTACAATAAACTTGAACATATCTATAGACTGGGGGACGGGTGAGGGAAGAGAAGGAAAGGGAAGCAAGCCCCGGAAGGAAGCAGGTGAAATAAGTTAAAGCAGCAAGAAGGCAATATGGTCTCATTGAGACTGGAAAAAATGGGCTAAGATGTAGAAGAGCTCACAGACGTGGTAAATGGTGGAAATGGAAAGAGTGGGAAGGTGATAAGAACCACTTTTTTGTAGATAAAATTGTATATATTTATCATGTACAACATGATTTCTTGAAACATATATACTTTTGAAATAGTTAATCTAGTTAATTAACAAATACAGATCCTCACATAAGTATCATTTTTGTGTTGAGAACACTTAACATCTATTATCTTTGCATTTTTCTAATAATTGTCAATAACTATAGTCACTATGCTGAACAACACATCTTATGAACTCATTTCTTCTATCTAACTGTAATTACATACCCTTTGACCAACATCTTCTCAAGCCCCCTCCCTCCTACCAACCACAGCCTCTGGTAACCACTACTTTACTCTTTACTTCTATTAGACCAACTTTTTAAGATTCCACGTAAGAGTGAGATGATGCAGTATTTATCTTTCTACTACTATTGGCTTATTCTGCTTGACATAACATCGACCATGTTCATCTGTGTGTTGCAAATGACAGAATTTCATTCTTTAAATAGCTGAATAGTATTTCATTGTGTATATGTACTATATTTTCTCTATCCATTCATCCATTGATAGAAACCTAGGTAAATTCCATATCTTAGCTACTGTGGATACTGCTGTAATAACATAAAAGTGCAGGTATCTCTTCCACATACTTATTTTATTCCCTTTGAATATATATCCAGTAATGGGATTGCTGGATCCTATGGTAGATGTATTTTTAATATTTTGAGGAACCCCCATACCATTTCCATAATGAATGTGCCAAATGACATTTTCACCAACTGTGTATAAGTGTTCTCTTTTCTCTACATCCTCAGAAACACTTATGCTTTGTTTTTCTGATAATAGTCATTCTATGGAGGGAGGTAGTAGCTCATCATTTTGATTTGCATTTCTCTGATGATTAGTAACAATGAGCATCTGTTTCATTATAAGCATCATTTTCATTCATACCTATTGTCCATATAACTGTTGGCCACTTATATGTCTTCTTTTGAGAGATATCTATTCGGGTGTTTTCCT